GAGGCCCGCGCCAAAAAACCCAAAGAAACAGCCGCCATGTACGCGGAGGGTATGATCCGTCTGTTTCGACGAGCTGACCCTGACATGCCCGAGGCGAAGAAGGTGCGTCACCTAATGCAGGGTGTTAAGGAACCAGTGTTTGCGGACCTTGTACGGAATCCACCTACAACAGTAGGTTAATTCATAAGAGAGGCGACTGTCATCGAGCGCGCACTGCAACAACGTTGCCGACACCTTGACCACCTGCCGAACCACACGGCAGTAAGCGCTGCAGCTCAGAACACTGCCGTATGCGAGAGTTCCCTGCGACAAATGATTAGGGAAATACTGCGTGAGGAACTTTGGGCACTCTGCGTTCCCCCTCCTCAACCGCCTGTCACACCTGTTGCAGAAATCATCCGCCAGGAGTTGAGGCAAGCTGTTACACCACCCGCGCCAAGTCCTGAACCACATCCAGCGAGCTACGCTGATGCAGTCCGTCGTCCTCCACTGTGATATGTGGTGATGCCCTTCCAGCCACGAGCCACTGCCGTACCTTGGTGGCAACGGTATTTGCGAGACGACCACCAGTTCACCGAACTGACTTATGGCGCAAGGCCGACCGTTGACCTATTTGCTTCCGCTGTGGGGAACCCGGTCCCATTGCCCGTTATGGCCGTCACTGGCCATTCAGGATTCGGGAACATTTCTCGCCCCACTTCTTTCCGCTTTGAAGACCATCGTGCCCACGATACCAATTAACTGTCGCCTGGCCACGCAACTCCACCGGGTCGCCGGCGATCACCACCTGCGCGTCACCGTGACTTCTCTCAGAGCTACGCGAACGTCATCACAGGCCGTTTGCCTAGCCCGCGCCGGGGAAACTAACTGCTGCGACCTCCGGCGGCAAGGTTGCCAATCGTCGAGACACCGAAAAGTTTCCCCTATCATCGCAAGAAGATATGACGACAACAACTACGAATACGAAAACGGATACTAATGCTGATGCAGTTGTGCGTGCCGATCTTAGCGTTCTCATTGACGGACATCACGTTACAGCACTGGTCGACACTGGCGCCGACTTCTCCATCATGCGACAAGAGCTCGCCGTCCACCTTAAAATGGTCAAGACACCATGGACAGCTAGGGCCACACACAAGGAGTGCTGGTGGGCAGCTGATTATTTTCACGGGTAAATGCACCACTCGACTTCGCATCGGGGATCCTAGCTTTGTGGCTACTTTCGTCCTGTTGCCAGACTGCTGAAAAGAGCTAATTTTGGGCATGGATTTTTTTTCAAGATCATGGCGCGGTTATCAACATCCCTCAACATATGATGACGTTTTGCGCACATCCGTATGTCGACAACAGCAGCGACGAACCACGAGGCCATTTGCGAATAGCCGACGATGTGACGCTCCCACCGAGATCCTGCTGCCTTGTGTCGGTGTCCAGTGGGTGGCCTTGCTATAAAGATGTGATAGCGGAGCACATAGTCACTCTTTTGCTCACGCAAGGCATTTCCATCGCGAGAGGCGTCCTGGCGCTTACTGGTGGACAGACAGAAGTGATCCTCAAAAACTTCAGCAACGAGCACCGTCAAATCCAGAAGGGTACTGGAATTGCCCACTACGACGATGTAGACCAAGCCGGGGATTGTCTTGCTTTGCAACCAGATGACGTGACTGTCGCCGCCTCGAAAACTTTGCCGGTGGACATCTGTTTCACGCTACCGCCCTCTGATAGGAAGCGCCTGCTTGAACTTATACACTGATTCGAAGACTGCTTTTCGCGTACGTCAAAGGTCCAGTAAACACCATTGAACAAGCACCGCGTCATTACTGAATACAGCACGCGACCGATTCAGCAGAACCCCTACCATGTGGCTCCGAAAGAACGCATGGAGATTCAGAAGCAAGTACAGAAGATGCTCGCAGATGACGTCATACAACCTTAGAAAAGTCCTTGGGCGTCCCCCGTGGTTTTGGTCAAGAAAAGAGACGACAGCTTGCACTTCTGTATTGATTATCGCAAGTTGAGCCAAGTCACGGAGAAAGATGTCTATCCACTGCCTCGCATAAACGATTCACTCGATCGGCTGCGTCATGCGCGCTATTTCTCTTCAATACCTCTGAAGCGGCTACTGGCAGATAGAAGTCGACGAGAGAGATCGTGAGAAAACAACCTTTGTGACGCCCGATGGCCTTTACGAATTTAAGGTGCTTCCTTTTGGGTTGTGCTCGGCGCCAGCCACTTTTCAGCGTCTCATGGACACCGTACTATCAGGCCTGAAGTGCAAACATGCTTGGTTCATGTGGACAATGTTATTGTATTCTCAGCAATATTTGAGGAACATCGTAGCCATTTATCGACCTTCCTCTAAGCCATACGTTCGGCCACCCTTACTTTAAAACCGGAAAAATGTCATTTTGATTTCAGCGAACTCCGCTTCCTAGGCCACGTCGTCGGTCACGAGGGTGTTCGACCTGACCCGGCCAAAATAGACGCCACAGCGCAATTTCCTGCACCACGCGACAAAAAGTCCGTGAGACGCTTCTTAGGGTTGTGCGCCTATTGCCGGTGATTTATTGAGGACTTTTCGTCTATTGCGGCGCCATTGACTCGACTCACACGTGAGGACGTCCCCTTCTTTTGGGGTGAACAAGAGCAAATGTCATTCAATGAACTACGACAACGCCTGCAAACACCTCCAGTCTTTGTGCACTTCGACCAGGAAGCCCCTACAGCCCTTCACACTGACGCCAGCAATGTAGGTCTGGGTGCCGTTCTGGTGCAGGGGCAAGACGGCTGTGAAAGAGTAATAGCCTACACCAGCAAAACTCTCTCTCGCACGGAGGAAAACTATTCGACTACCGAGAAGGAGTGTCTCGCCGTGGTGCGGGCGGTCATCAAATTTCGTCCATATTTGTACGGCCACTCCTTCAAGGTTGTTAGCGACCATCACTCTTTGTGCTGGCTCAAAGATCAATATGGCCGTGTGATGCGCTGGAGCCGAAGGCTTCAAGAGTTCAACATGACCATCATCTATAGATTTGGGAAGAGGCACTCCGACGCCGACTGTCTCTCACGGTCGCCAATGGAGACTGTCACTCATGATGACGAAAACATCGACGCTGCATTCTTGGTAGTTGTCAACACGGCCACTATTACACGAGAGCAGCGCAGTGACCCCGAGGTGTTACTACTCATTGAATATTTAGAAGGACGACGTAAAGACGTGCCGTGGTTATTTGATAGAGGACTGCCATCTTTTTGCTTGCGAAACGATGTTCTATATAAGAAATGCTTCTCACCAACCGGCAACCCGCACTTGCTTGTCGTGCCTGCCTTTCTTCGCAAAGAAATAATGGAAGCGTGCCATGATGAAGCAACTTCTGGTCATCTAGGCCACACCCGAACATTGTTACGACTACGATGCAAGAACTACTGACCAAAGTTACCTGCTCCTGTTAACCATCACATGCGAACTTGCACCGACTGCCAAAGACGCAAAGCGCCTCCCAGCAAGCCAGCCGGTCTTTTACATCCAGTCGAAGAACAAGCGAAACCGCTCACCCAGATTGGAATGGATTTCCTGGGTCCTTTTCCAACTTCCACAACAGGGAACAGATGGATTATGGTGGCCATCGATTACCTCTCCCGTCATGTGGAGACTAAAGCTATGCAGCGTGGCACAGCAGCAGAAGCCTCTCAGTTTTTCATTGAAAACATCGTCCTTCGGCATGGCGCTCCGACAGCAGTGATCACAGACAGAGGACCTGCCTTCACCACAGAGCTTTTGGAGTCGGTTCTCAGACTCAGCGGTACAGCACACCGAAGAACAACTGCATACTATCCGCAGACAAACGGACTGACGGAGGGCCTCAAAAGGACCCTCACAGGCATGATAAGCATGTACGTTGACACGGAATATCTGGGATCAGATATTGCCGTACGTGACCTTCGCCTATAATAGCGCTCGACGAGAAACCACTGGAATGACACAGTTCAGTCTGATCTATGGTCACGAAGTCACGACAACGTTGGACGCCATGTTACCGCATGAGTGTGATGACATCCATGTAGACACCAAAGAATTCACTCAGTGCGCCGAGGAAGCCAGACAGCTCGCGCGTGTGCGCATCCGTCATCAACAGCATCAAGTTGCACAACGGTACGACCACCGACACAAGTTCATTAGCTACTCAGCAGGCGACAAGATCTGGGTCTGGATTCCGATACGTCGACGTGGACTGTCTGAAAATCTGCTAAGACGGTACTTTGGCCCATACAGTGTCACGCAACGCTTGAACGACGTGAACTACGAAGTTGTTGCCGACACTGACTGTAGTTATAAGCGCTAAAAGCACTTACCCGAAGTGGTGCACGCCGTGCGTATAAAACCATATTTATTGAGTTAATTAGCTCCCGGTTACCTTCTTGGCGCGGCCACTTCATACACCTAGTAGAGTGCCTATGTTGCGCATCGGGACGATGCCGCTTTCGGAGAGACGCAAATGTCACGTGCTTGCTCAAAAAAGACGATGGCAGTTGTGCATGTGCCATGAAGGACTATGAAATGGACGAAGAAGAAGAACTCGCTTGCGCGTTCTATTGAAAAGACCTACCTGCTTCTGGTGTCTCAATCTCTGCGGCAAGACCCCTCTGTTTTGACGTCGTGACAATATGCTGGGAAGAAGTTGCTTTGAGTTCCGCAATGAAGAGAAAAGTGCACCTCGTAACTGTTATAGGAGGCGATATTTGAAGTAATGCTAATATGAATATAAAGAAAGAAAAGTGGATAAAAAGACAATTGGCCAGTGGTCTTCACGGCGGCCAGTTATTTTTTCATGGACTTTTCTTATCGCTTCATATATTTCTCCTTAAAAAGAAGTGTTACCTTCTTTATATGGCGATTCTAGAAACATACTTTTTTTTTAGTAAAAATACATACAGCACAATGAAACTGGCATCTTTCAACTTAGCATGCACATGCTTAGGGAGTACAGCAACAGACTCACCGGTAGTAAGTGTGCGTCCGGCCTTGGCCCACATGCCAGCGTGAACCGTGAACCCCGATCAGAATGGATGCGCCCACAAGCAGGCTGAAGATGACGGTGATGACTGTGATGACGCGTTCTTTGCGTATTCCTGGCACAATGGCAAGGAAGGCCACCAGGAGTGTGAAGAAGGCGAGGTACACAAGCACTTCTGCGTGGTCAGCGCTCACAGAGGTTCGGTTGTCACTCGTGTACAGCGTGGGCCCGCCGTTCTCACGAAACGCGTCAAACCAACCCGTTGTACTGAGCATGACCAGCTGCAGCTCACGCCACCAAAATCACTGAGGCTGGAAACCGACGAGCACAGTCCTGAAAATGGCAAAAGGAAGGCCTTTCTCAGCGGAAAAAAAGCGTGGGGCAAAATTTGAACTCTTATTGTAGTGATGGTTTGCAAAGTAGAAACATCTTTGTATTGATGTAAATGCACTTCATGAAAATTGTTCTAGTCTTCTTCGTAACACAAATTTGCATCGTGCAGTTTAGACTATATTGGGCAATTGACGTCTCATTAAGATTTGCTCTAGCAAAGAAATATGAATAGAGGATACTCTATTTTAGAATTTGGTGAAATATTTTGCTAAAGACTGAATAAGTGACTAAACAATACGTGGCATCTGCCTCGCTAATTGCATTGTATTTCTAGTCGCACTATTTACGCAATGAGTTGTTTACGGCACAGGCGTTCTTATTTTCCTGCAAGTAGGCATGGTGGCGGTAATTTTTCTGTTAAGTTCTCGTACTACTATAATCCAAATTTCTTCCTTAAAGCTCTGTGGCAAGGCCCTTTCGTTAATTAACCTATTAATCATTGGGCTTCAACGTCCCAATATCACCATATGATTATGAGAAATGCCGCAGTTGAGCTGCGGAAATTTCGATTATTTCAACTTGCACCTATATCTAAGCACACAGGACTTAAGTATTGTCTCCTCTATCGAAAGCGCGGCTGCCATGGCCGGGATTCGATCCCACAGCGCGCGGTTGAGCAGACGAGTGCCTTAGCCACTAGACCACCGTGGCGAGGACGAGGTCATTTCGACGAGGCCAGTGTCATTACTAGAAGCAGTAAGGATATATCTCAGGACACGCTTGATCAAAAACCTTGATTAAACTGATCACCCAAGAGCGGCTTCTAATAGAAAATAGAGGCAACGATATGCCGTTCGAAGCATTTTCGTAGTGCTTCCAGGAAAATTAGGAAAAATTTGATTTAATTCATTGTTTTTTATTTACACACATGCGCAACATAGTGGTAAATGGATGTGGGTGGAGAAAAAAAGCCGCACAAACGTGGCTTCAGGGAGACCTCACCCCCTTAGTGCATTATGACTACATATGGTAGGGCACATAATGCACTTGTATATTACACCTATACAGTGACAATAAGGTATGGCAGTTCTATAATGAATAAACAAAAAATTAAAAACACATTTAAACATTTTCAAAGTTGATTACATTACTGAAACAAAAGCGGGAACAAAATAGATATGTACTTCGTATGCAAAAATAAAAAAAAACATATCCCACAATAATAACTTTCTGAAAACACTCTAGAGAAGGCAGCGCAATAATATTTGAAATTCTGACAACGATAAGTGCTGTAAATGATAGCCTGCTCTGTTGTATGAGTTAAAAAGTCTAGGGAGATTGTTTGGTGGCGTTTGGTAACCATAAGTCGTTCTAAAGTGTGGAACCTTCCACACTTCCGGAGTACGAGTGCTATAACAAGATTGATGGCCAGATAGCTTTTCAAGTTCTTGCAATAAGGTAGGGTTGCATATAGCACTAAAATAATATCCGCACAAGAGTAGTATAGTTAGTAGATGCTATGGACTTTGGTTACGTTGTAATTCTTGAAGATGTTGTCTGTATGAGCCAGATACGGTACATATGCGACGACACATGTTATTTTTTTCTGCATACGATATAGTTTATTCAAGTTAAACTGAGTCCTGGTGCCCCATCATAGATGCCCGTAGTAAATGTGAGATAAAATAAAGCATTAAAAATTAACAATTTTACAGCAACGGCTGAAGTGCATTGGTAACGACTTCAAACACCTGTTATGCGGCAAAGTTTTTGAAATATCGAGCATACGTGATCGTTTCATTGCATAGTATCTGTAAAATGTACTCCTTGAACGTTTACAAAATGGACACATTCTGTACTTGTCCATCAATAGACTAATGTTTGATTTGGAGGAACTTACTTTTTTGGTACGAAAGATTACAGCTTTTGTTTTTGTTGTATACACCTTTAAACAGTTTTGTGTAGACCAGTGAGACAAACTGCACAGCAAATTATTTGCCATGGTAAATAGACTATTGTAAGAATTCGATTAAATGAGGATGCTTGTAACATATGCGTCAATTGTAAATTTTGCGTTTTCATATACGAAAATAGTATCAATAGCGTACAAATTTAAGAGCCTCATGCCCAGGATGCTGCCCTGTGGAACTCCGCAAAATATTTCTTTGCGGATGCATTCATGCCAAGAGAAACAAACTGGCGCCTCTTACTATGATAGCAATTCAGTAGTTCAAGAATGCCTCTAATGTCATGTCTGTCTAGCTTGCAGAGAGAAATTTTGTGATTATAGTGATCAAATGCCAGTGTAAAATCAACAAAGATGCCTAATGTTAACAGCCTATGCTCAACGTTTGTAATATATGTTCTTTTTGATCAAAAAGAGATAGTATATAAATGTTCTTTTTGATCAAGAAGAGCTAGTTCAGTGGATATGTTAAAACGAAACCCATATTCAGAAGATGAAATCATCTTGTGCTTTTCACAGAAGAAAGAAACCTGTGTTAAAAATAGTTTTTCAAGATAATTTGAAAAGAAAAAAAAAGCTGTATCGATATGGGGCGATAGTTTGTTATATCTAACAGATCACACTTTTTAAATACATTTAAATAACAGTTCTACCTTTGCGACCGTATTTTAAGGAAATGTACCTGTTGAAATACACTAATTATAAATGAATGCCTAAGTCAGTTGCTATAGATTTTATATCGAACAAGCTTCGCGGTTTAACCTATAGACCATCAGCATCACAGCTGCGAGATGTCTTGAGTTTTAATAAACAGAAAATACAGTATATCTGAAGGCATGACTTGCTGGAAACATATTGAGTTTGGTTTGATGCAATGCACATGTTTTGCGGCATGGTAGGATTGGTGTCAACGTCTCTGTGTACATAAACGTCGTTGAAAGCATTTGCCAAGTCTTCCTCTACCAGCAATGTACCGTTGCAACTAATCTTTTCTACTGCGTCGCGCCTCTCTTTTCTATTCATGAGAACATTCAGCCTGTTCCACAGGTCACCTGAGTCGCGCATGCAAGACGAAAACATCTGCTGAAAGTAGGCATTTCGCGCTTTCCGTAATTCTTTGCTTAGTTCCTGGCAAGCCAAGAGCAGCAAATCAGACGGGTTGGATCGGGCCGTACAGCCGGCAGGAGTGAGCGCATCGCCAAGAATTTGATTGTCACCCAAACTTGGCACGGTGCAGTCCGAGGTTTTGTGATGGTCCACAGTTGTTCTTCGTATCAGTTCGTAACAGTTTCGACCATGCGATAAAATCAACTCATTGTTTGAGCGCACAAGCTAGCTTCTCAGTTATCACTGCAGACCGTATGTAGGGTTCCTCAATGCGCGCGCCTTTTTGGAGGGTGGAACCACTCTTTGAAGGGATGAGCGCCGCCTTTCGATAAGCGGCCGCCATTCGGCTCCCCCGTCTCGTCGCAGCTAGTCGAGTGAGACACGTGCGTGGCATTTTTACAGGCAAAATACCTGGGTGTTGCGTGACACAGTGCACGAACCACTCGCGAAATGGCTACAGGATGTTCAAATTCCTGAAAGATCCAAAAAGGTGACTCTTGTGGCTTGTGAAGATAAAGTACGAGAAGTGGCAACCCACGGACCGTTCGTGTTTGTGCAGCGAGAAGTTATGTCATTTCAGCACTTCGAGAGTTTTAACTTAAAGCGCTGTGACATGGGTACTTTCAATCGCGACAAAGCTTTATGTGATTGACTCTTACACCAGCTGCAGAACGGCGCCAATCACTGTTGAGAAATTTGATTCCGATCAGGCTTAATTGTGATCGCCAATACACCAGGTGCAATGCACGTTTATTCACATGCTGTTTACATGCGTATTTACCTCGTTCATTTTGGATAGCGCAAAATGCGTTGTTCTTAATCGCGTCTTGTACACAAGCTGCAATCGCGCGAAGATGCGTGCCTATGTTGTGCACTTGTTGCTGCCGGTGCCTTCAAATATATCTTTTAGAGGCAAAGCCGCTTTCGCCGTGGGTCGTATGTCGCGTGTTGTCATAGTTGTAGTTACTTGCATTGTATTGCATGTCAATAAAAACGGTGTCACAGCATATCCATGGATTCAATGATAATGAGTGGGGCGAAGCGTCCATACGTCCCTCCGTGCGTTCGTCCCTGCGTTCGTCCATGCGTCCGTTCATCCGTGCATTTGTTCGTCCGTCCATTCGTTTCTCGTTGCGTTCGTTCATACGTATGTCTGTTCGTGCGCCCATTCCTAACGCCTACGACATGAATTGCGCTTTGAAGCGTGTATGCGTCATTCAATTTTTGCACATGCCGGCGAACTCTACACAGTACCTGGTTGACATGATTTTCCAAGGGAAAATAGTGTGTCGTGGAGGTGCTGAAGAGGAAATCGATAATGGGGAAATTCTTTTAATTGAAGCACTGACTTCATTAAAGTGCAGCATCTTGCACCATATGGGTGGATTTCTTGAGTAAAGAATCTTGAAGAAAACGGACTGTGGGCAGTGCAGGGCTGCAATGAAAGGCTCAGCGAGCCATGAACACGCATATTTAGCTGCACTGAAGGAGTATGTTCAGGATGGTGAGAACTTGTGGTATCCGAGTGGTAAGGTTATGAGCTCGCTCATATCTTGTGAAGAGGGCTTAAAGGAATCACATCCTGGGCAGACAATCTGTTCAGCCTGAAGTCTACTCTCAAAGTTGTAACTGAATATTTAATTAAAAGGGCGAAGTGAAGCGTGCAGGCATGCCAGCAACAGGAGGGTTCTCTGAAAAAAATGTGGATATCAAGGTATGCACGAGTAAAACTGCGCATTCACATGCGCCAGCTCGAAAAAACGAGAATAAGTAGAAGTGGAAGCAAGACATTCGCTGCGGTTAAGTTGCAGTGTGTTAATTATAACGCTTGTTTTTGAAGTATGATGAAGTTATCGTCCAAATAAAGTTGTGGCATCCAAAATGGCCGTATATTAAATGCAATTTGCTTGCTCATTGTTGTAAAGCG